AATATCTACCGTTTGACGGCGTTGTCAGCGCCACTCGTGATTCCCGCGAAATTGAAATCCAGTTTAGTTTAGGCATGCGCACGGTATACGTCTGCTTATCGCCTACGCTCTCATTCTCATTCATTTGTGACTTTATATTTTGCCACAATGACTCCTAAGAAAATCCCTAATGCAAGGCGATAAATTTACTATGATAAAACGGCATGAAAAATGTCATATCGATTGCTCGATCTTTTGGAATGATTCGGACAACTGTAACGACGATTGTTTACAATAAGGATAAAATTTTGGAACATATCAAATCTGATGCCCCAGAGATGAAGAATACTGTTATCAATAAGAGGAAAAATCTTTGAAGAGATCGAACAACTTCCTTCTCTTTGAATTGATAGGTTGAATCATCAGCGTGCTGCTATTAGTCAAGAAATCATTCAAGGGAAATCGTTGTCTTTGAGGTCATGAACAAAAAATATACAGAGAAAGATGTAGAGTTTAAAGCGAGTTAAGGCTGGTTTATGAGAGTTAAAGAACGAAGTTATCACTCTATTAAGAAGCAAGGTGAAAGTGCATCAGCTGACGAACAAGCAGCAGCCGATTTTCCTAAAGCATTGGCTAAGTTCATCAAAGAAAACGGGTTTCTTCCTGATCAGATTTTTAACGTTGAGAAAACTGGATTTTATTGGAAAAAATTGCCAGACCGTTCTTTCGTTTCTAATGCTAAGTGTAAGGCTCTATTGCTGGTAAATTACTTTGTTCAGAATAGTGTCTATGCATATCATAAATATTGTATTATGCAATGGGGAATGCTTATTTGCGGTTTATAGCTTGGTTATTTCGACTTAAGTCATTTTTTGACCTAAGTCGTGAACTGTGGAACCAATTAACAACGTAGTGTGAGGTATACCTGTATTTGATTGATTGTCGCATTTGAAGTTTACGTTTAGCATTTTCGGCTATTCTTTTTGCTGATAAATATACAGTGTGTCTTCTTTTACTAGATGTTTAGGCCTTTCTTGTCAGCTTCTTTTACTGCGTTTTGTAGGAAACCCTATAATTTCTTTTCTGTGCCTGCTACCAAGACCGTCTTATCTGTATATCTTATGTTGTTAAGATCGTGACTGCCATTTATGAATCTTGGTAATATTTCTAATTCTTTAAAGATTGTCTAACTCTAAAACGTTCAGTAGCTCCGATGAGAAGACACGGTCTTGCCTTACACATATTCATAGTTGCTTACATCGCAAACAGAGGTGGATCTATATAAAATGGCAACCATGGCATGGCACGAAAATTGCACGCCTATGATAAACAACCGATACCCTAAGAGAATGCAAAATAGACGTACCAGTTCCAAGAATATAAGTCAAGACCATAAATATTAAAGAATAAAAATTAAAATTAAATTAAGGTAATTAAACAAGAAGATATATACAGGAACTTGCCTTTCTTCACGCTTTAGTTTAGTTAAATTATACAAGGTGTCCATAAAATTCGTGTGCACTTTAAAACATTTATAACTTTATTTGTATTTGCGATAGAAATAATTTGTAAAAAATGTTATAAAGTTTCATGTACCTAGTTTTAAGTATAGCTAAAATAACTCATGTGATTTCAGGCATTACTGTAAATCAGTAGGCAAATGTTTTCCGTGAACTGTAAAATCGTATTACCCTTTGTATTGCGAATGCTGGAGGACATGTGGAAATTTAAATAAAATTTAAATAAAACCTTTAAAAATATAGATTTACTTCTTTCTAATCCTTTTTATAAATTATTTCTATCACAAATACAAATAAAGTTATATTTTTTTAATGTGCACACGAACTTTATGGACACCCTGTATATTAGTCACCGTTTTGGATAACTAACTGCTCTCCCTTCTCATCTTCCAGGCTTGATAGTGTTCAAAAGCGTCTCCTATTTGTGTTCTAAAGTTTTTTGTTTGATTATTCTTTATTTACCCCCGTCTAAACTCTCTCTCAAAAAAAAAAGGACCTGGCGAGCCTAAAAAAATACTTCCATGGAAAGTTCTTGGAGGAACTACATTCCTTGGTTACGCCAGTTGTAATATATCACGATTGGGACTCAATTTTGAAACAAGTTTTTAATGTGAAATGGATTTTGCCCATATTACCTCCATATTCCGTTGGCGAGAAGTAATTTCCATTCGAACAGCTTCTTTCCCCGAACGACTGCTCTTCGCAACCGACAACTAAGGGGATTTTTCTCTGATCACTAAAATCTTAATATGTTCAAGTCTAGAGTTAGCCGTTATCTTCGCCTCCTATCCTTATAAATTGCCTCTTAGCGTACCCCTCTATCACGAGTGATCCCCGGAATTTGTACTGGGTGAACCTTACTGTAAAAAAAAGAAGGAACCGTTACAATGAAATATTGGCCTAGCGGGTGTTTATATTTTACTCATCCTGCTATATGTTACCCACCCCAGTGATAGCATCGCCGGTATGTACCCTGTTTAACTCTTTCTTCGTAAAATGGTTTTCCTTATGTTATTATTTGAAAATTTATTTAAGGTAACCACCTTTTTCACGTTTAATATAAAAAATTGCAAAATCTTCTGTCTCAATAAACCATTTCGCCACGATTCAGCTCTTATTCCTTAAAAACAATTGTAACTCCATGTAAATTTTTTGAAAAAATTAGAACTTACATTTGGTCTTACTCTGTCTCCTCCTACTGGGACGAGATGTGACACAAAAAATTTTTTTAGGTAAACAATTTAATAACACCCGGGACAGGAACAAAAACTCCCCTCAGTCCCCAAAATTTTGAAATTATGGCCTCAAAATCAAAATTTATTTCCCTCCCTTTGTTGCAATGGGAGGTCCATATTTTCAATAAGCGGTTCCTCAGGGCTGATTATAAACCTCAATGCATGCTCTTGTCAATTTTAAGTTTAAAAATGTTTAAAAAATTTTAAGACAGAGATGCAACGGAGAGATGATAAACTAGACGAAATCGTTACCACAAAATAAAAAAAATTATTCACATTAAAATAATTACATTGCAAGATGTTTTTTGTAATCTGTTCCTGTAAAAACATTCTATTTTTGTTAGCCATTAAGAGCCTCGGTTTCACTTACATTCAGTTTTTTTTTCTTTCTTGTTAACATTTTTTCATCCGCTGCCTATTAAATTTCTGTTCATTTCTTTTTCTAGTTTTGATCCTTATTTTATTTATTTAATAAAATTCCTGATAAATTTAAGGTAACCAAAAAAGTTCTGTCCGTTTTTAAAGGAAAAAAAAAAACGCTTCACAATATGTGTAACTTATATTTAGTCTTCGAAGTAATCGCCATCGGCATCCAGCACCTTCTGCCAACGTGTTCCAGCTGTTCAATGCCCTTTTATGGTAGAACTCGGGGTTCGGGGACAAAAAGAAGGGCTTGCGCAATATCTGCTTCATTGGTGAAGGATTTTCCACGAAGATGATTATCCAGGGAGTGGAAGAGGTGGTAATCGGATGGCACAAGGTCAGGTGAATAAGGTGAATGACACAAAGTCTCCCACCCTAGTTACTGTATGGTATCCCTAACCACTCGCGCGACATGCGGCCTGGCATTATAATGGAGGAAAAGCACACCTTTGCGATTCACCAGTGCTGGATACTTCTGGCGCAATGCCTGTTGCACACGTTTCAATTGCTGCGAGTATAGGTCTCCAGTGACCACTTGGCTCGTTGGTAGGAGTTCATAATGAACCACTTGACGACCTGTCCACCAGACACAAAGCATAATCTTGCGTGTGTGCATAGGCGGTATTGCGGTGTGAGGGACAGCATCCTGAGGAGACAACAAATGTCTGGAACGCTTGGGAATTTCGTACAGAACTCACTTTTCATCACAGGTAAGCACTCGATAAAATAAGGATGCGGTACGGTGGCGAGAAAGCAGCGATACGCAGGCTGCCACTCGTTCTCCCTTTGGGACCTCCAACAGCGTTTGCGGAACCCACTTGCTCAATTTGTACATCTTACCTAGGCGGTGCAGGTGAAGTCTAACTGTTTCATCGGAAAAAATCATTAACTGTCTTGCAAGTTCACCACACGTTAGACTACTGTCCTCTTCAATTTTTAATTCAGGACTCCATCATTCAAGACATGTGGTCGTCCACATCGAAGCTCATCATGGAGAGACAAATCTCCCAACTTGAATTTTTTTTAAACCAACGCCTTGCAGTACGTTCATCCACAGCACTATCCCCAAACGCTTGACATATGCTAGACTTGATGCAGCTTCTGATAAAGCCCACTTTGAAGTCGTAAAACAAACAGCCCCGCTGAGACGAGATCTCCATCACTTCCATCCTTCTCAATTATAACTGATGACCGGGAACAGTGCACATGGTTTTTATAACGTCTGATGTTCCTACTTCCGGCTGTCCGAATTTGAAAACAATTCCTACACACATTTCGTATATATTTCAATTTCATTCAATGACTAATCAAAAAACGGACAGAACTTTTTTGGTTACCTTGTAGAACTTCAGAGTCTTAATTGCCATAAGGCGTTTATCTGGCTGTCTTGAGGTACCCACATGTACAAGATGGTAGCATATTCGAGAGGCAAGATGGTGTTTTTTATTCTTAATATTTGTGAAGAGAATTTACATTTGGGCAATATATATCACCATATTCTGTACTGTACTGTACTGATGCGGCATTCACCCTGGGCGGATTGAGCCGGCTTCTTCCTGTTATGAGAAGAAGATTCTTGGGATAAATTACAGAAATTTCAAAAAGTACCCAGGCCTACTCGAATAACGTTCTTGCTTTATCCGGGGGTTCCCACAGACGCAGAGACAGGAACGACCAGAAGCCGCCGGTTACCGATGCAGACGCTCCTTGGATTTTCACCAGAGCCCTTGTTAGCCGGTTTTCACACCTGTGGCCTACCAGGAACGAAGTTCCGGCGGTATAAACTCTGACACTACCGTTTACACCCCCCCACCGACTGTGAGGTAAGGGTTGGACTTTGGGGGCTTACAGTACCAGGTGTTCCCAAGCGGTCCCCCATCTAATGAGTTTGACCTGGCTCTACGATGCTTAACTTATAGTGATCGAACGAGAACCGGTGTTTTTTAACGTAATTTGACCGTAAGCATCATCACCATATTCGTTAAGACATTATCGCAACAAATATTAACAAAGCGTAATTATATTAAATTTAAATTCGAGGATACCCGTCTACTATGGCGGCTAGGCAAACTCTACTGCAGATGCTTGCTTAGGCGCATTTCTGTTTAGTCAACACTCAATAGAGCCCACCTGTGGTTTATACTGCAACTACCCTGATCAGACCTTAGTTACAGTTTCTGGGAGATAGTGTTCTATATAGCGTGATCAACAATATGAACCAGGCCAGCACGCTGAAGCCCTCGCTCACAATGACTTGTGGCTTCGTGCTAGCACAGCTATCGACGGACCTCAAAAGTTCTGTCTACCCAATTTCACTCACAAGGCTTAGGTCAACCTGTGGCATAGTTTTCAGGCACTTTCCAAAAGTGGCGCACGCGGTCGATTCATTCCGATAACATCAGGAAATTTCCTTCCTGACAAATCGACCACCGGGTCTCTTGTTCAGAAAGCAAGCGTTCTAACCATTCGACCATAGCTCTATAAGAAAACACGTCTTAACTGGTCTTTACATTTATAAGGCGAAACAAAATAATAAAATATATGAAGAGGGCTATAAATTCCATTTTTTCCCCAAAAATAAAAGCAACGCTATAGTTTTGAAATATCGGATGCATTAATTTCAACTCTTTTATTAATAACTGCATTTATCTCTTCAAGTACCCGGGTTGGCTGAAAATTTGTTAATAAGAAGAGTTAAGTTAAATGTATGCAGGATATCACAGCTCTATCATTATTCTTTCAGCCTATGAACCTTTCAGCCCACCCTTGTGCCTGGAAGGAATCGATGAATTTATAAATAAGTAGAATTGAAACCAATGCATAAGATTTCAGACTACCTCCGTACCTGGGTAAAAACGATGCAGTTATCAACGAAAATAGTTCAAATAAGTGCATGCAAGATTTCACCTCTCAAGCGTCATTCCTTCATAATCAGCCTATGAAAATCCCAACCTCGTATCTGGAAAGAAACAATACAGTTTCTGTCTATATTTCTGTGATGAGGTATTATGTACACTATTTACATTATTCGGACTATTGTCCTCATCTTTGTCGCCATATTTATCACAACGTTTCGGCTGCTATACGCTTGGCCTTTTTCAGGTGATTAGAATTTCTAACTGAACCTTTATTTCCTCGAGGACACATATCACAGTGGATAAAGGCGTTAGTTAGATACAGTGACAGGACCCAAATACCTGGTTAAGGCGGTGGAGAACTTGGAGAGGGAATTAAGCAGGAGTTAACTGATCACTGACATCAATTAGACATGGCACGTGGAACAAGAACAATCTACCCCAGTGAGCGAAATAAAGGGTTCAGTTCGACATTCCAACTACCTGAAGAAGGCCGAACCGTACAACGGCCGAAACGTTGTAATAAATATAGCGACAAAGATTAGGACAATAGTCCGGATAATGTAAATATTGAACGATATATTTATTAATAAGGTGAGTTGAAATAAATGTATGCAGGATTTCACAGCTCTAACTTTACACCTTCAGAGTCAGCCTTTTAGCTGTTAGACGACCCTCGTATCTGGGAAGAAATAATACAGTTATTAATGAAAAGAGTTCAGATTAATGTATGAAATATTTCACAAATCTAGCATCATTCATTCTAAGTTAGCTTATGAACTATTCAGCCCAAACCTCTTACCTGAAAAGTAACAATGCAGTTATTAATAAGAGTTGAGATTAATGTATCCAAGATATTATAGCTCAACGATCACACATTCGCAAACAGCCTATTAACTTTTCAGTTTACTCTCGTATAATCGCAATGCAAGTAAACAACTTTTAACACATTATGACCTTACAAAGTAATTTTTATTATTTCAGTACCAATGAAGTACTACACAAACGAGGATTCTTTTTAATAATCGTTAAGAAATCCTAATTGCACTACAAGAAGATATATTTCGATAAGTTATTGCACGTACGTCAAAGCAATCACTTTAAACAAACTCAAAAAAAAACGAGGTGTTAGATCTTCTAAATAGCAACCCAAGGTATCAGAATAAAATTTAGGGCTAAGAATGCATGCAAGAAATCACTGTGGACATACTATACTACATGTTCCATATTAATACAGCTACATTGTTTTAATACAATAAAATACATCTTATTAATTAGGAATATGAGTGTCTATTCTTACCTGAGCAGGGTGTATCTTTTACCATCGTCTATTTTGTAGTCGTGAGTGTCAATTAGCCGAGAATAAATTATGCATTGGCTATAAAACAGCCTAGCCATGAATAATCCAGAATATACACCGGGATGACGGTAACTCAGGGCTGTTACACAAGTAGAACTTTTTTTCAAAATATCATTTCATTGGCGGGGTGGGGGGATATATGCACGTGGGTTCGTGTTTCGTCAGTAATAAAAACAGGCGGGAAACCTACGATTGATCTGCTGATCGGGTTATTTGTTTTTAGTCTCCTTTCAACCGAGTTATAATTATCCCATAAGGTAAACGAAACATTAAAAATCACTACCATTGATAAGTTTGAGATTCCATAAACACGGTCCGTAATATAGGATGTGTGAAAATTGACCGAATTTATAGGAAAGTCACTGGTCACAACTGATTCAAAACGGATAAAAGAGCAGGTACCAAAATTCACCAGATATTGGTGGGTAGAAAATCAGAAGATATTTATTTATTTGTAGGCCAGTGCAGGTTACTTTACTTTCAAATCGCCTGTTTGAAAATATTTTCCGCCAGTAAACCACTCAATTTTGTTTTTTTTTTTAACATTATAAAGGTGACATCTAAAAATCGATTAACTCGTTCCAGTAATTTTAAAACCCGTGTGTATAAAAAATATTGATATTTAGACGAACGAGAGCAATTAAATAAAATTAAATGATTTCAATTTTAAAGATCATTCTCTGAGTTTATTTTCAATTGATTCTAACAATGCCGCTTTAATATCGCTAAAAGAAAACAATGCAAACAATTTAAAAGTTACTCTAATCTGTGTTAATAGTGATTTCGACTACGGTGTTTAGCACTGACGTTATCGTGTTGGCCTCTCGTGCTGGCATTACTTAAAATTGATTGAATTTAATTGACTGGCGTGCTGGCGAATTCTTCTGCTGACAGTCTACTGTAATATTTGAATCGGTGGATATGGGTCATCGGAACAAGTTTTGGTATCAGATCGGAGACTTCAGCCGCCTACACGTTTAAGAAAAACAGGGAAACAAAAGGAGTTTCCGAGTTTGTTTAAAGTGATTGCTTTGACGTACGTGCAATAACTTATCGAAATATATCTTCTTGTAGTGCAACGAGTACAAAACCTTGTCGAAAACGGTTCTGTTTATTAACATGTTTCTACAAGTGCGGACAACTATTAAGCCCTTTTTCTTTCCTTTTTTTTCTAGTAAAAAAATCGTTCGCCCAATACGAAACACAGGACCTACTCAATATAGTGTGTTAATGATTTTGAGTATTATAATTAACGTAAGAGAAGGTAAAAAGTGCAGATTATGAGGCTATAGAGACTAGCTAACAGTTGTCCCTTGACTTGAAGTGGTTAAGATTATAGCGATTGGGGAAACGTCCTCTTGTGAGTCTGTACCAGAATCTAGCTGCTCTTGGGTGGATTGTTTGGTTAATTTTGTTTAGTGGCATATCAACCCCTATGCGTTATTTAATGCCGAAATATAAATATTTTGACGGTTTTATAGTTTTAATAAAATATATTTTGAAGTCAATTGTACGCCTTCAGCTGCAGATAAAATATATTGTCTGTCATTTTGCCATAAAATGTATCGTTGATCATTTTTATATAAAATATATTGTTGGTCATTTTGCTTTTTTATTTGTACTGTTGGTATTTTATATATATATATATATATATATATATATATATATATATATATATATATAATTAAAAAGAAAAAAAATACCACTTTTTAAGGTATCATTATAATAATTTATTTCACCAGAGTCCTTTTAAAGGACGCCGGATCATCAGATAGCACTTCCCCCCACCAAATATATATATATATATATATATATATATATATATATATATATAAAATTTGCTGTTGATTTTTATTTAAAATGTTTTTCATACTTTCATCGTGTTTTTTTATGGGGGACTTCACTATTTGCTCATACCTGGGACCGTAACATGTGCAACCACCCTAGTCAGGATGAACCTGGGGACAACAGCAATTAAGAGGTAGATTTTCTTGAGAAGAAGCTGTATTTGAATTGCACTCTCTTATTACTAATATACTAGTGTGTGACATGGTGATTCATAGCTGTGAAGGTCTGAACTGGTGGAACAAGGAAATGTAATGTGTTATAACATTTTTCATGGAAATAACGATAGAATAGTAAAAGGCTTGCGTTATTTAGCTTGTGAGAATGGGAAAAATATATCAATATTATTTCTGTAATGCGAATTAATTCTAAGAAAATATTTTTAAAAAAAGCGACTTTTTATCTGTCTGTCTACTTGTCTACATTTTGTTCACTGTTTTTTTGTTGATTTGCTTTGTTTTCGAGGAATAAACATGAAGCATAAGCAAAAGGTTAAACTTGTATATTTTGCGATTTCTTTTCCTTCTCGACCTGTTGCAATATTCATAAGCTTGTGTAAAATTTCCACTGATTGCAAGCCAATCGGAAGATCTCACGCCCCTGCTGCGAACAATAAAATATACACTTGATTAAGACAGTTCGATTTTGCAATCTTTCTTCCCCTGTGACTTGGGAATGTCGGCAAGAAAGATGAAGACTTGGGAGAGACACACGATGAATCGATGGATGTGTAGACCCATCGGTAGCTTATTGGTATTCAAGGACAACAATTGAATACACTTTAGGATGTATAAGGTGTATAATATACTACGATCACAAATCCCGTGACTCATCAGTGTTGTAGGGCTACTGCAACCACGGCAGAAGTGGGGTTTTTTGGGTAAGATAGCCTGACAGAGC